TCAGATCACCTTAAAAAAATGTATACATTGTTTTAATAAACCAGAAAGACAAAAGCTAAGTACATACATAGACCTTTAAATATTACGCAATTACAAGTGTAAACACTGCATACTGGTTAAGACACTACTGGCAAAAATGTATTGATTCATAGTATATTATTTAAGTGTGTTATGTATTCCTCACTGTTTTAATTTTCACAAATATAAGTTATCTCTTCAGGACAGAAAAGCCTGTGGAAAACTTACACGATGGTTGTTTTCAAATTGCTGTGTACAAACTGAATTCCAATACTGCTGCATATACATGATCATAGAAAACAATAATAGAACAGAATATTTTTAAAGCAGTAAGGAAATCCATCTATGTTTGCTTCCCAAAACATGCTGTTTAAAACTTATAGAACTGGATTCATATCAGAATCCTGGTGGGTCCAAGAAACAATGTTATCTTTAGAACCAGTTATGCTGTGCTCAGTGACAGGTGTACAAAACATTTATCTAAATTATTTTAGGTAGCGTGTAAGTGTATACTTCCAAGTTCACATGGCATAAAACAGTAAGCACATTCACATCTTGTTTAGAACCAATAATTCCATGGAGCTAACTACCAAGAGCAATTATCTGTGAAGTTCACAAAGAAACTAACAAAACAGATGGCTCTGTTGCTCAGTAATATGATAGAAAAACAAAGCAAAATTAGAAAAGCAAATGAAATACAAATGTATTCAAATCTGCAAGCACTGTCAGAAGCATCGTCTACCACTCTATTCCCTCAAGTAGAATTCTTTAGGGTACACCAAACATTATGTGATTTTTAACTGAATTTGGCCCTAAAGGCTTCTTTGTTCAGTATATACAGTACATTTCACCTATTCAGTGAGGAGAGGACAGACCATTCTCAGTGTCCCTCAATGTTTGTCATCAACATTAATATTTATTTTTTTATTTTACTATACAGTTAAGGTTCAAAAGGAGAATGGTCATTTGTACCATTGACAAGAAGTGTTGTTCTGTCTCAAGAATAACCAAAACCAAGAGTGTAGTTCCCCTAAGCATTCACTAGAGGGAGAAGGGAGTCAGGTTTTCAGCTGTGATCTGGGGCAGCAGATGAGCACCTGACTGTGGAATGTTAAGTACCTGCATTCTCAGGAGGGATTCAGCCTGTAGGCTGAATCAAAGGTAATGTAGAACAGCTGAGGGAATGGAGCTCCTCTTTAAAAGAGGCAATTCTGCCAGAGCCTTTTTAGTCTCAGTATGTACAGGTAGTAGTATACTATAGCAATAGGGTTCTCAAAAAAAAAAAAAAAAAAGGTTGTTTTAGAAGAAGTACTGGGTGGTTCTAGAATTTAGCAAATACTGTACCTAAGCATCTTAGAAGTGTTGTAGTGTTGATTAATTGATTAAAAAAAGTAAGAGCTTTTATCTTGGGTGTGTATAACCTGAAATCTGTAGGCACAAGGTGGGAATACGTGGGACTGTACAAAGCCCTTTCTGAACTCTGGCCAAATGCACCTTGCTCGCAAATTGTTATAGCCTGAGAAACTCTTCTGCGACAGTCAAAATCCTAGTTTCTAGAGATGTATTTGAGGAGCCCCCTCCTTGACATTTCTTATAGCATCTGGTAGTGATCCTAACAAACAAATTCATACAGTACATGTTCCTGGTAGATCAGCATTTGACTGAGGTATTATTACAGTTTATAACTCCTTGATGTGTCCCAGAAAATGTCCGATAGCTGCTTTGTCCAGGATGAAGGATGATAATTTTGTAACGTATAAGAATAAGAATGTGGAGTTGGCCATTTTATTTTACACTGAGTGTATAGATGAGAACCACAGTTCCAAAGGAATGGAAAAACAATCCTGATGCCTTTAATTATGACCTTGATTTCCCCACAAGACTTAACATCCTGTTTGAAGTTAAGAATCATGGATGTGTCCTATGACCTGGTGTACACTCATCAGATATGCAAAAACATAGGAGTAGTACCATGGTCTTCCTGCCCCACCCCCCGGAGATGGGTTGCTATGCAACTAGACATTAGGTCAAACAATCTGATGCCTACAAAATGCCCAGAAGTAATTGATTACCAGGCAGGAGAAGTGCAAATTTCTTACTACCCTTGACCTTTGCTAAAATGTACTGGCAGGCATGCCTTGCTGAGACCTCCAAAGGCAAGACAGCATTTGTCTACCCAATTGTTTTTTTCATTCTATGGTATTACCATTTGGTTTGCTTGAGACACAAGAGAACTTGAAATAACTTAAAATCTTTCATTCTGACACAAAATAACTCCACCTAACTGGAAGGTGGAGTTTGGACTGAGATGTTTGACAAGTGGGGCTGATGGTAAACCCCATTAAAAGTAGAATGGGGTTTGCTACCAAATTAATATTTAGACCCCAGTTAGATGAGGCTGCAGCCATTAAGGACTGACCCTGACCACTCACAAAAACAGGCCTTCTTTGGACTTATCGGTCACTACCACTGTTTAGGCTTGGTTTGGTAATGTTTGCAGATCTGGTTATAGACCTCTCAAAAACTCTGCTCCCAACTTTGATGATGATGATGATGATGATGATAATAATAAACTTTATTTTATATAGCGCCTTTAAAGGTGGCTTCTCAAAGCGCTTTACAGGATGACAATAACAATAAA